ATGAGTGATGTAGTTTGGGGGGGGTGTAACATGGGGATTAGCAGCTAATAAAAGTTTGGGTGCTCTTTTGTTTGGGGCTTCCATCTTGTTCCACCTTGTGGCAGGTGGGAGTCCTGTCGCGACAGTCTTCAATAAAGACCAAGCCTACTGGCTGCTGTTTTGCTCTGCTATTCCTGGCTGGTGTCCTTGTTTTTTGTCCAAGGGAGCCCTCAGATTTCTCCATTAACAATGTGAAAGCTGAAACATCGTACAATTGGAAAGTAACGCCAACCGTCCGAAAGCAAAATAAATAATTATAATTCGGCGGCCTTTGCAGGAACGAACGTGCAAAAGGAGGGGTGGTTTATGGGGGAAATGCGCCATTCCTAATATGACCATTTAAAAAAAGAGTTTTGGTTCTGAAATGACTCCGCTCTGTGATTTAAAACACACACACACACACCCCTGCATCCCTCCCATTTGGTTCCATCCACTCCCCTTTCCCTGCTGGAGTGGTATGATCCCAAGGTCAGGACCACATTCCAAAGGCAGGTAAAAATAAGCATTTGTAGAGGGGCAAACAATGATTCACTGTTGCACACATGAGACAGTTTCCTAGCAGGTCACAAGTACAGCAGTCAGGAAGTGTGTGTGTGTGTGTGTGTGTGTGTGAGAGAGAGAGAGAGAGAGAGAGAGAGAGAGAGAGAGAGAGATGGCAAAGACTTCCGACCCTGGAAAGTCTGACTTCTGTGATCTGCAAAATCGTGCTCCGTAAGTGTAAAGGTATAGGGATCCCTGACCATTAGGTCCAGTTGTGACCGACTCTGGGGTTGCGGCGCTCATCTCGCTTTATTGGCTTAGGGAGCCAGCGTACAGCTTCCGGGTCATGTGGCCAGCAGGACTAAGCCGCTTCTGGCAAACCAGAGCAGCGCACGGAAACGCCATTTACCTTCCCGCTGGAGCGGTACCTATTTATCTACTTGCACTTTGACGTGCTTTCGAACTGCTAGGTAGGCAGGAGCAGGGACCGAGCAACGGGAGCTCACCCTGTCGTGAGGATTCGAACCACCGACCTTCTGATCGGCAAGTCCTAGGCTCTGTGGTTTAACCCTCAGCGCCACCCGCGTCCCTTCCATAAGTGTATTCGGGAATAATTCCACACAGTTTTGCTATAGCCCTCAATTCAGTCACGTGTGTGCAAGCTACATCTACTGCACTCCCCTCTTCCATGCAGCTGTTTAAAATATGTGATTCCCCACATCGTCATTCTGTTCGCTGGGGGAACCTCGGGCCAGTGACCCTCTCTCGGCCCAGCCGCCTCGCAGGGTCTTTGTGAAGATGAAAGGGGAGGGCAGGGGATAACCACGGAGTAAGTAACCAATATAATGGGTGATAGCAAATGAACAATTCTTTAGTTCTTAAGGAAGGATCCAAAAATGCTCCTACTAGAAATTAAGTGCTCATTCGAAAGTATTTATAAACCTCAATATTTTTTAAAGAGGCTGTAAGCGGGGTGCAACCTCAGAACAATGAGCAATAGCATTAAAACAAAAGGAGTTATTGCCAAACCGGTAAAACAGTATGATAAAAACATAAGAAGAAATAAAAATAGGAATTCGGGGGAAAGGGTCTGGTCTTTTGGGTTAGGGAAAGCCTGGGGAAGAAGGTATTGCTCGATTATTCCTCTGCATTCTTTCTGTCTGTCTTGCTCCTCCAAAGAGGGGCTGCACTCTGCGGAGTTCCTAGAATTGGCCGTAATGCTGGAGCAATGCAATAATTTCCAGGAATAATTAGGCTGCGAAATCTCGCCCGTTGCAGAACATCGGAAGAGCCTGCCTACTAGATCAGACCAGGGGCCCATCGAGCCCAGCCCCGTTCTCACAATGGCCAACCACATGACTGTGGGAAACCAGAAAACAGGATCTGAGCCCAGAGCACTTTGTCCCCTCCTGAGGTTTCCAGAAAGCAGCATTCAGAAGCATCCTTGCCACTGCTTCTTCGTGCCACGCAACTGCCCCATTTTGAGCCGCACATCACAGATTTAAAGCAGGCATCTGATTGGATCCCAGAATGTCCCGTGCAACCTTCCTTGGGCAGCCCTTGCTGGGAAGCACAACTTCCCGGTGTCTGTTGCTCCACCCACTTCTGCCTCCGGCCCCGCCCATAACTGCCAGGTGGCCCTTGGAAGGTTGCAAAGAAGGGAGTGTGGCCTGTGGAATGCGCTCCCACCAGATGTCAAAGAGAAGAACAACTACCAAACTTTTAGAAGACATCTGAAGGCAGCCCTGTTTAGGGAAGCTTTTGATGTCTAACAGACCACTGTATTTTAATACAGTGGTACCTCGCGTTACATATGCTTCAGGTTACATACACTTCAGGTTACACACTCCGCTAACCCAGAAATAGTGCTTCAGGTTAAGAACTTTGCTTCAGGATAAGAACAGAAATTGGGTTCCGGCGGAGCAGCAGGAGGCCCCATTAGCTAAAGTGGTGCTTCAGGTTAAGAACAGTTTCAGGTTAAGTACGGACCTCCAGAACGAATTAAGTACTTAACCCGAGGTACCACTGTACTTTGTTGGAAGCCACCCAGAGTGGCTGGGGAAAACCCAGCCAGATGGGCGGGGTATAAATAATATATAATAATATAATTATTATTATTATTATTATTATTATTATTATTATTATTATCTCCTCGGTTTATATAAAAGTGGAGCAAGCCTTGCCGCTTCTGTTTGCAGTCACTTCCCTAAGAAGACGTGGCCTTTCGAGATACATTCTCCTGTGCAATGCAAACTCCTGCTCTCAACAGGCTGTAAAAACACCAGGTTCGGGCTACTGCCTTGGGTGCCCACATACCCAGTCAGCACTTTTGTGCAGCACATGTTTTCAGCATGGCCTCATCGCCTGCGCATTAGTCATGCTTTTCGCGGACTGAGCCCCAGGCTCCAAGGAGTTGCTGGCAGCGGGTGGCAGAAAGTCTGAAAATGTCCCAGAGCATTTCCAAAAGCCGGCGCAGCTGCCATAGGAGCCCTGGCACCGTGAGAGATGTGGGGAATCGCTGGGGTGGCGATCCCAAAGGCACATGAGCCAGTTGGCTATTTGCAGAACTTCGTGTGCCTGTTGAGACAGGGCCGGAGTTTAGGTTTGAGGAGACCCTAAGCTGCTGAAGGTGATGGGGCCCTTTATATGTCCAGCTGCCCTTTGTCAACAACAAATTATTGCTTTTGAATATATTGTTGTTGTTTAGTTGTTTAGTCGTGTCCGACTCTTCGTGACCCCCTGGACCAGAGCACGCCAGGCACTCCTGTCTTCCACTGCCTCCCGCAGTTTGGGTCAAACTCATGCTGGTAACCTCGAGAACACTGTCCCACCATCTCGTCCTCTGTCGTCCCCTTCTCCTTGTGCCCTCCAACTTTCCCAACATCAGGGTCTTTTCCAGGGAGTCTTCTCTTCTCATGAGGTGGCCAAAGTCTTGGAGCCTCAGCTTCAGGATCTGTCCTTCCAGTGAGCACTCAGGGCTGATTTCCTTCAGAATGGAGAGGTTTGATCTTCTTGCAGTCCATGGGACTCTCCAGAGTCTCCTCCAGCACCAGAATTCAAAAGCATCAATTCTTTGGCGATCAGCCTTCTTTATGGTCCAGCTCTCACTTCCATACATCACCACTGGGAAAACCATAGCTTTAACTATACAGATCTTTGTCGGCAAGGTGATGTCTCTGCTTTTTAAGATGCTGTCTAGGTTTGTCATTGCTTTTCTCCCAAGAAGCAGGCGTCTTTTAATAGCTGAATATATGCTATGTGGTAATTTATGGACCTGATAGGTATCTAAATCCATTTGCACATAATAGTCCGTGCAGAATGTAGGCACCCTATATATAAAAATGAGCAAACCAGAGATATTTTAGGGAGCAGGCTAGCAGGCGGGTCCCATGACTTACATCACAGGAGCCTACACAACACAAAACACTCTTGCTGTATGTAGGTTTTATTTTATTGGTTTTTTATCTTATATTTTGGAAATGTACATCCAGTTTTCCTTTAATTTTTTGGGGGGCCCCCAAGAGAGTGGGGCCCTAAGCTATAGCTTGTTTAGCTTCTGCGCAAATACGGCACTGCGTTGAGATCAGAGGCTGAGGACTAGAGCCTTAAAAGTGGTTGCTCCTTTTTTCTAGCTGCCTTAGCCTGCAGACAAGAATCTTAGGCAACAATTAGGGATGGGGAGGGAGAAATTCAGTCCATAAGAAAATAAGAAGAGCCTGCTGGATCAGGCCAGGGGCGCATCCACTGGGACATGACAGAGGTGTAGAAAAATTATGCATAGAAATCCGTACAAGAGAGGAATGGCAAGTCAAGCTGTTGGAATACGCCGAAATGGCAAAACTGACTGGGAAGTCAGGAACCAAGAAGACAAAAACTTCAATAAAGTATGGGGGGGGAATTATCATTTATTTAGGAGACCTCTGTAAGCAGATGAAAACATTAGCAGGATTTTAATAACACTTGGAATGTAGCAAATAACATGGATAATATAGAGAGATTTAAAATATGGATTATGAAACAATATGCAGTTGAAAAGGTTGACAAAAGGACCCTTTTAGGTGGACGATGGGATGTCTCGAGATTCAGAGAAATCTCTAAATGTGGATATCTTTTTTGTGTTGTTATAACGTTGCACTTGTAAAATAAATAAATAAATATTTCAAAAGAAAAGAAAATTATGCATAGATGTTTTGGGAAACATGGTGGGGAATTCCGTTCACATTTAAGGGCGAGATTCTTAATTTGTCCTTTTCCAAACAATATGAGAACCGAAACGCTCTCATCCTATGAAATTTGCACTTTCCTGAATTTTGCAATGCGGTTTCCCACTCAAGTAACATATACGAAAACTCATCTACTGGGGCTTGCAGTGTGAGAGTCCGTTGCTGATCAATTAACTGCTTAAAAGCAAGACGGTTCTTTTAATCGATAGCCACACTTCTGTTCCCGCTAACAACCTTTTTGTTTCCCCCCCAATATAGGTCCTTGGTGGCCTCAGAGGGAGAGGGCAGAACAAGCGCAGGAGAGGAAGACTCTGGTGTGGGTGTCTAGACGTGGCCGAAGCTTCTTGCCTGCGACCCCCGTGGTACATCTCGGCCTTCCGATTCATCCCTCTGCTACTGAATGAAAAACACCAGCCTTGGACTCCTTGCAAAGCCAGTCAACAGGTAGAGGCTGCTGAAGCGTGGAGGTTCGTTGCTAGTCTGGGGCGAGAAAGAAGAGCTAGTCTTTTGTGGAGGAGGCTTTGCATGGACTTCATCCGATTTCTACGTATACAGGTAAAGCATTTTTTCTGCAAATATTTCCACCACCAATCCCTGCCCCCTCCCCCGCAAAAAAACACTGGGGGGGGGACACAGTTTTGCAAACTGATGCAGAAAATGTGGAGAGCTGAATTGAAGAATGGGAAAACGAGAAACCGCGAGAAAACAACACAGGCAGATTTCGCAAACTTGATGTGGGGAAAGCAGAGAACTGAATTTAATAACGGGGAAACGAGAAGCCGCGAGAGAACGAGACCACATATCGGGAGCCGGCCTCTGTAAAATAGGACACAAATACATACACACACACCCAACCAGGCTGATCACAAATGACAAATAATAGAGTTCAGGAGGAGGCCTCCGGATCTGATCCCGGTCACCCCCCACCCAAGAGGGTCATAATGAAGTCCTGTGTGTTTTGAAGTGAATGGATTTTTTACAGCGAGTTGTAGGGGCACAGCCACTCTAACCCCCCCCACACACACACGCTGCGTTAAGCACCCTCAAGGGTTTAGCTAATGGAAGACGTGGAAGCGAGATAAGTGCTCCCCTAAATCTCAGTGTGGGCTTTCTGACTCCCCGCCGGATGGCCTCAGGGGTCCCCCTTGACTGTCGAGTGGATTTCGCTTGGCTGGGAGACAGAAGGGCAGTACGAGAGGCACTCTGAGGATGCCTTGTCCATCAAAAATACCGTATTTTTCGTTCCATAAGACACACCTGACTATAAGACACACTTACTTTTTAGAGGGGGAAAGCAAGGAAAAAAATATTCTGCACAGAGCATGTAAGCGACTCTTGCTTTTCTTGCTTTAAATACTTCCGTCCCTCCTCCCGCTTCACTGAGAAGCCAGCAGAGCAAGAGCAATAGCTGCACAGCGCCTCTTCTGGTGTGATGACCTGGGATTTGGACTCGGAGGCTGAACCTGAGGGATCCCAGCCTGCACAGGATTCCCCGCCTCCAGAACCAGCTGAGCCGGGGCTGGGGCCTGAGCCTGAAGGGTCCTCACCTGTGCTGGATCCTCAGGTGCAGGCACCAGCTGAGTCTGCTCTGGCTCCTGAGGTGATGGAGGACCCATTGCCTGCAGGTGCTCCACTCTCAGCCCCGTCAGAGGAAGCTGGGGTTGCCTCTGGGTCCGGTAATCCTCCAGCCTCTCCTGAGCTGCAGAGGCTCAGGGCAGAGAGGCGGAGGGAACTAAGTTCCTGCAGGAGGAGTGCTCGCCTCCAGGCCAGGAGAGGTGAGTCACTTGTGGACCGGGGCTGCCCTATGCCTCGGGGCAGATAAAAGCCAGCCAGCCCCAGTCCCAAGTTGCAGGAGCAACATTGTTGGTAGTCTGTTCCTGCCTGAACCCTGTCCTGCTCTCCTGCCAGAGTTCCTGACCTCACCCGACTCCCTGCCTTGGACCCAGCTTCAGCTCTGACAGACAGCCTCCATACCGCACCCTCAACCTTGGACTGGACTCGGACTTTGCCGCACATTTAACCCTCGGGACCAGCACATCTGGCTTCCCAGCAAAGCGGGATGAGGGACGAAAGGGAGCCCTTATAAGGGAGCGCTGAGCAGAGCCTGGCAGTGGCTCTTGGTGGCTTTTCCGGGAGGTGTGGGAAGGGACAGAGGGCAGCCTGTCAGTCCCTTCTCCCTCCTCGGGGAAAAGCCCCCAAGAGCCTCACACACGCTCCGCGTGGCTCTTCAAAGGGAGCGCTGAGCAGAGCCTCCTGCCTGCATTCGCTCCATAAGACGCACACACATTTCCCCTTACTTTTTAGGAGGGGAAAAGTGTGCCTTATGGAGCGAAAAATACAGTAACCCTCTCCTGCCCAGCGGCGGAAGAAGCCTCTTGGGCACCTGGGGTGGTGCACCAAGGAGTGGGACAAACCGCCCATAGGGGTGGAATGGGGCATGTGACACCCTCAGGGAGGGATGGGGCGGGGTGCGCCATGGGGTCTCAGCCGCCCTACAGCTTCAGGCCCTGTGCCCACCTTTTTGTCACCCCCGTCAGGGTAACACTCGGGGTGGACCGCCTCTCCCGCACCGCCTTCCTACGCCCTTGCTCCTGCCAGTGTCACTTTTTCTTGCTCTCCGCCTGTCTTGACGTCTTTGTGAACTGCAGGCGTTTGCTCTTCGACGTGGCCTTTTACCCCTTCCTGCCCCAGCCAAACAGTGGAAAGCCAAGCAAAAAATGCTCTCCCCAAGAGCTGAGGCGTTAAGCGGCTTGGCAAGGGTTGGGGGCTGCCTGGTTGGCACTGACCCATCACAGGGCCTTTTTAGTGGTGGCTCCCCCAGTTGCAGAATACCCTCCCTGGTGTAGTGCACCTGCCTCCCTTGTTACTGATATCCAGGAGAAATTCTAAAGCATTCCTGTTTAACCCAGGCATTTGATCGCTGAAAGACAGTTTCTGGAAACCCTGTGATCATTAGTCCATACACAGTTTTTAAACTGTTTCTAGATTGTTATTTTTAAATGGGCACCCCACTGGCGAAGGCTGAAGTAGAGCTGGCCTAGCCGGGATCTCCCTATGTTTTCTTTTGCACACCTACAAAATGCAGAAGGAGTCTGGATCTAGACGCATCCGAGAAGCATTTCAGTTTAAAGTGTTGTAAATTTAAACAGGGAAAACAGGTAGAGAAAAACCGGGACTCCACGTCGCCATCTGGTGGCACAATGTTATATCGCATATACAACTCAGATATATCGCTTTTTCTTTACCAGTCTAGCTGAGTCCGGAATCTGAATGGCTTGAGCCAGGAGAGGGAGGGGCGAATTGGTCAGTTTGGGTTTCTCGTTTCTCCAGTTTTATGTTCGGACTTCCACATTTTCTCCATCAGTTTGCATTTAAAAAAAAATTTCTTATGGAAATCCACCAGCATTTTAGTGGCAGTTTTTCCTAGTAAACAGATTTTTGTGCGCAATCTTGCCTCATGTACGCATATTTGCAAAGCAGTGTTTCCTAGTGTAGTGCATTTTTTGCATGCTATTTTCACCAATATATGCATTTTTCACCCGCACTTTAGCACAGTATATTTCTGTAAGCTGTATGTGGTTTTGTTGTCGTTTAGTCATTTAGTCGTGTCCGACTCTTCGTGGCCCCCTGGACCAGAGCACGCCAGGCACTCCTGTCTTCCGCTGCCTCCCGCAGTTTGGTCAAACTCATGCTGGTAGCTTGGAGAACACTGTCCTACCATCTCGTCCTCTGTCGTCCCCTTCTCCTTGTGCCCTCCATCTTTCCCCACATCAGGGTCTTTTCCAGGGTGTCTTCTCTTCTCATGAGGTGGCCAAAGTATTGGAGCCTCAGCTTCAGGGTGTTGTTGTTGTTGTTGTTGTTTAGTCGTTTAGTCGTGTCCGACTCTTCGTGACCCCCTGGACCAGAGCACGCCAGGCACTCCTGTCTTCCACTGCCTCCAGCAATTTGGTCAAACTCATGCTGATAGCTTCAAGAACACTGTCCCACCATCTCGTCCTCTGTCGCCCCCTTCTCCTTGTGCCCTCCATCTTTCCCAGCATCAGTGTCTTCTCCAGGGAGTCTTCTCTTCTCATGAGGTGGCCAAAGTCTTGGAGCCTCAGCTTCAGGATCTGTCCTTCCAGTGAGCACTCTGGGCTGATTTCCTTAAGAATGGATGCGTTTGATCTTCTTGCAGTCCATGGGACTCTCAGGAGTCTTCTCCAGCACCATAATTCAAAAGCATCAATTCTTCGGCGATCAGGGTGGTAGGAGATTGCAAAATTCAGAGAAGGGTGCATTCCAGAGTTTTGGTTTGTGTATTGTTCCAGAAAGTGCAAACGAGGTAGATCCACCTTTGGCTGCGAAGTGAAATGAATCTCTCCCTCACCCCCAGCCCAGAATTATAGCCAGCAGCTGTTTGTTCCTGCAGATGAACTTTTGTTCTGCATTTGCAGATTTAGCATAGCACAAACCCCAAAGGGTTGGTAGTGGCAGAGAAAGGCTGTATTTCAGGTGAATGACAGCTTCAGCTATGTTCGAGTTTTGAGACACACCAACTCCTCTGTCTACTGGCAGTCCTTATTTTCCCTTGTGGGTTCCCATTGCATTTGGGGGTGGGGTGTTTATAAAAGAAGGAAAAGAAATAGATATCATCCAATATCTCATAAATGGGCACGTGGGTGGATGTTTCTTATTAATCTAGACTATGATTGAAGCCTCAGCACTGCACTGTGCCCCATTTCAGCAGCAGTATTCAGGTTGCAGTGCTCTGCCCAGTTACTTGGGAGCAAGTAATTTAGCTGCAATGTCTGCATTGCAGGCGGTTGGATGAGATAAGCCTTAGGGGTCCCTGACAGTTCTGCAATTCTGTGGTTTTAGTCCCACCGAACTCCATGCAGCTTTCTGGGACGGTCATTTCCACACCAACCAGAAAGATGACTGACGTACAATTCCGCCTGTGCTCATTTATGTGCTAAAGGTGTGCAGCCTGGGAGTCTGTTTGGACTCACAGCTGTCCAGGGAGGTGCAAGTCAACTCTGTATCCAGGGCAGCTGTCTTCCAGCTCCATCTGGTACGCAGGCTGAGACCCTCCCTGCCCACAGACTGTCTCGTTAGAGTGGTGCATGCTCTGGTTATCTCCTCCTTGGACTACTGCCATGCGCTCTACATGGGTCTACCTTTGAAGGTGACCCGGAAACTGCAACTAATCCAGAATGCGGCAGCCAGACTGGTGACTGGGAGCGGCTGCCGAGACCACATAACACTGGTCTTGAAAGACCTACATTGGCTCCCAGGACATTTCTGAGCACAATTCAAAGTGCTGGTGTTGACCTTTATAGCCCTAAACGGCCTTGGCCCAGTATACCTGAAGGAGCGTCTCCACCCCCATCATTCTGACCAGACACTGAGGTCCAGCGCCGAGGGCCTTCTGGCGGTTCCCTCCCTACGAGAAGCCAAGTTACAGGGAACCAGACAGAGGGCCTTCTCGGTAGTGGCACCCGCCCTGTGGAACGCCCTCCGATCAGATGTCAAAGAGAAAAACTACCAGACTTTTAGAAGACATCTGAAGGCAGCCC